CTGACATTGAACAATTTACTGTATGACAAGTTGCGCCGTCCTGTTGAAACCACGTGTTAGTCATGTCTAGTCTATCCCTCATAGCATCCGCAGTTGTGGAACCAAAAACCCCCTCAGTATTTCCAAATAGCGTTCCGAGTTCACAGTGACAGGGGGGGGTGTTCCCACTTTCGTCCTCAAAAACATATGGTCCGATGACTCCAAACAGTGCCACACCACACTGCACCACACTAGACAGTAGCTTTCTTTTGACGACGTGATGTTTTACCAAACATAACCTAAAAATGGCATAACATAAGCAATCGTTCACTACAACAATGAGGTCTCTAGCTAGTATAACAGCTGACTTATTACAAAACAGAAACCGTCAGGTTTTTTTGGCGCACCCTTTATAATACACATATAGGTTCTGTGACCGTAGATGTATCAACCTATGGTTGTTACCAGTTTTTAAAAGCTAAGCTATTTTATTAATAGGACGTTTTGGAAACTGTGAACAAATTATATTGTTTACATGTTTTAATAATTAATTATAATGATTAACTTTCTTGAAATCACAACAACGCATAAGATAGTTTAAAATAAAACATTTCAATATGCTTCCAAAATGAATTACAAGTTAGACGAATCTTGTTTAAGATTGTCTTTGATGTGGTCTTTGTTTGTAATCGTACCCAGGTTGTTTGACTAAACATGGACACCAAGAACACAATTTAATAAAAAAAATTTAACGTAAGATTATAGCTTTGACAGTATGCAATAGTCAATGATTATACTCAATGCAGTTTCAGTCATGTATATATTGACCTAAATAGGTATAGAGTTACCTATAAATGATTTAGATTCATGACCCACTAAATCTTTTTCTGACTCAACATGTTTTTACTTTTTTGCTTAAAGTTTATTACAGCCTAAGATTATGAATAAAAACTATATATTTCATTCCGTAGATATTATTGAATAAGATTAATGTCAAATCTTAACTATAACAAATTAGGAAAAAAGTTTTGAACCAGCAGTAAGTGAATCTTTTTCAGAGTAATACCAAAGCTCTAGATTTACTAAGATTTATGTTCCCAAGTAAGGTGTGTGTCTTACTCTCTTACTTCAATATGTGCTGCAATAAGCCACAGGTTATCAAGTTATTCTGTCAGGTGCTTCCTTACGGCGACATACCGAAATCAATTTCTTTTTACTTCAAGCTCACGTTAGAAAGAATAGTATATAATTAGAATTACGATATATAAATACCAAGTAGCCACAAGAAATGTATGTTACGATCATTTGATTTTACAACAGCCATAAATATACAAAGAATGTAAGATTACGACTTTTATGAAGACTTTAAAAAACAAACATTAGAATACTTATCTTGGTATGAATTTATTTAAGAAGTAGAATCTGATAAGACCCTTACTCTGTACTATCTCTGTACGTTTATCAAGTGTTAAATATGGAGGCCATGCGTTGTTTTGGAGTAATTAATTTCAACCTTATCTCTTTTACAACCACAAGATAATTTAGGCACTTAAAACGTTTTCATTGTAATTTAACTTTTTATTTCGTTGTTAATTCCATTAAGTTGTAAGTACTAAAAACATTTTCTAGTTTTGAATGGAAACATATTTTTACAGGTTGTAAAATCTGTAAAGTAGTTTTTGAAGCCACCTAATAAAAGAGGGATATTTTTAGGGTCAAATCTAAAATCCAAGAAATAGTCGAGGATCCAAACTCAATTATAACTATCAGAGGGAGACATAATTGCTTCAGAACTATTTCGTCCTCCTATAGCTGAAGATACTAACTGCTGCAATGACTTTAAAAATATGCTAAGAATTCATACATTTACAAACAAACTTTCCCGAGCATACAATTTCAATTCACAATTTCTACCCCAATATAAATATGATTTTATTTCTCAAAATCTATTATGGAATAGCAATATTATTTTTTATTATACTTACATGAACAAAACTAATCACTTTAAAAAATAGCAACATATTTTTGTTCTATTCTTGCATAGTCTCGTGTTTATGAAAATATCCTGATTAAATAATATAGTAGTTGATAAGGTAACTAAACCTTAAACGTGCAGTAATGAACAATACTTTTTTTTCAATATTTCTTCTAAGAAATCACCTTGTTAATTATTGCCCCCCCCTTAGAGAAGTAACTCCTTGTGGGTTGACTAAACATAAAAAACCTAAACTGTTAAATAAAACAGATCAGGTAAAACTCTTTAGATCAGGTTTGACTAATGTAATAGAACTATGGTTAACAATAACCGTAGTTTATTGATTAATGGCTATTGTTGGAAAGTTAATTTGTTTAAACATTTACTATAGGCTGCATAGAGTAAACTGGCCATTCAAAAAAAAAAAAAAAAAAAAAAAATTGAAGCAAAACAAACGTGGTTCAATCTACTCTGTGTATAGGTTTTAGTTAAAATTGAAAACCCTAAAGGAGGTAATAAGTAAACACCATAAAACATAAGTTTCCAGGTTCTAAAACTAAGAGGAGATTTTTAAAAGAGTTTTAACATATTTCAAACTTTGCTGTTAATGTAGATGTTATAAATCCATCCAGTCAAGATTCACAACACAAGTGTCGCAGGACATTCATTGGAGTTGTGGGGTTGATGAATAGGAAGTACGAGGCCAGGTTATCATTATTACCTATTCATAGACCTCGCTGACATTTACATTCATAACTGTATAACCACAGAGCTGGAATAGTGAAACCTAAGTAATACTTTTGTTTTGTATCATTAGGTATGCATACAATTCTGTTACATAAATGAACACCTCCCACATCCTAATTGTAGATCATTAATTGGTTTAGTATGTTTCAAAATTAAAACCTCTAGTTTGACCCGACATCTAACAATTTTACTAATTTGAAATTTGACGGGTTTCTAATTCAAACATAATGATTGTTAACTTCCTGGAATATATCCACAAGTACTAATAAACATTTTACAGTACATTAACAGTAATTATCAATTTAATTATTATAATAAGGGAGTTTTCTATATTGTGAAAAAGTGTCACACAATAAACTACTAAATACTTGAGAACGTCTTTGGTAATGTCAGAAATTATTTAAAAACTCTTTGCATATTTTTTCACTGCAAAATTTAATCAACAAAACAACATAAAAATAACCTCTCACTAAAGAAAATGATTCCCTAAGGTGCAACTTGATGGTCAGAAACTAATGTTCACTAAACACTACAAAACTACTTTACTATTTACAAATTAAAAGAAAACATTCCAACCGATAAGTTTTAAACATAAAATGTCGATTTAGAGAGACAAGGGTGGAAAATCTGTCTCATTTGGAAAACAAATTAGAGTGTGAATAAACCATCACGCCCGAGGAAACCGGTGTCCGTGTTGAACAATGTGCATTAGAAGTTGTCATACCACTTACGAAAATTACAATTTAATCTTAAGTATTATATGAAAATAAAATGTGTTTTTCGCTACACTACTGTGAAATGAACTGTTTTCTTAATATGTTTATCACCTTTGAAAATTCATAATAATAACATTGTTTGCTATATTTGCTATATATGCTGACAAAAACAAATAAACTTTTTTATTGTTTTGTCGGCTGTTTATATTTGCAACTACCAAAATAGTATAATCCATGTTGATTTTAACTTTAAATATAAACTAACCTATTTAAATATGGTATAAACAAATTCTATTAAATTAATTTTCCTAACAGTATTAATGACATATTCTAAGGTTTGTTTTGTAAAACAAAATATTATTCATTGTAGTACAGCGAAAAGTAACGTTCAAAACACGAGTGAAAGTGTGACATTACATATTCTCGTACATATTTAAAGTGCAGGATAAATAAGGGATGAAAAAATTTATTCCTATTTATTTTATATCTAGTACATGTTGTGAAAACATGTTGATCGACCAATGTTGGTCATGGGTATAGCAGAAAGCTATTGCTAAGTTATCCCTAATAATCAAAACCAAGCGATACTACATCTAAGGATTTTTCATGGTCCTTAATCGTAGAGTGGTAGCGTTTGGACTGAATCTCTAAAAAAACAACTCGAATACTAAATATCAACAGACAGAAAATCAAACATAATTGAAAAAAGATTTTTTCGATCAAATTCAGAGTGTTGAACTTGAGCAATTTAATAGCTTTGCAGCAACCACTACGTTGACCCTTAACGTATTAAGGGAGTCAACCTTCATTTATCTTAGTTTGTCACAGTCATTGGTTGTGGCCAGAGGGTGACAGATGAAGTTTCGGTTGATGGATTAAGAAACTAATCAAAATGTTCTATCCGTGTTTGTAAAACACCTTACAGTGTATTATAACTTGGTATGTGTATGTCATAAACCTACATAAATTCTGTGTATGTATAGCCTCTGGGGATATCAAAACAAAAAAGTAAATTGGCCCTGGGCCCAGTCCTTACTGTCTTTCATATAAATGTCTTACCTACGGAAATAGGTTATTCCCTAAATTCACTAAAAATGTCCAGAAAAATACCTACAAACCAATGACATTAGCAATTCAATGATTCAAAATTAAAGATAATTCTTAATTTCCATTAGGCCTACTAAAAGAGATAAACAGATAAAAAAATATATGGTTTGCACAACAAACAAAGAGCTGTGTTTTCTGGCTAGGCCTACAATATTTTTTCTAAATAATTTGGTAAAACACTGGTGGATCAAAATTAGGCAAAAAGATAAGTAAAGAAATGAAAGTAAAATTACTTCTGTGATCACATGTTATTTTATTGACCTAGTTTTAAAGCTAGTCAGGTTTATCACCTGCATAGATTACTCTGGCTATAAACAGACAATACTAATTTAGTTACGAACATAAAAATAGGTTTTTCCATTCAAGATCGCTAACAAAATCAAATATAAAATAATAAACGATCGGCTTGGCAGTTAATAAAGCATTGCAATACATTTACGCAGACATAAGGATAAATATTATCTGGAAACAGAAATATGGCGCTGTCTCTAACAGACTTTGGTAAATTACTTCTCCCTAGAAACTGATACAATCCGCTTAGATATTAATCAGAGTAAAACAACCAATGGAGGGAATCTTTGTCTCCCAAACACCGGTTAATAATTCAAATTGTGTCGATTTACAGTCACTTCTTATTTACATTACCTTTAAAAAACTTCTATAGGAAAATCTTTCAGACAGGCTCAGCTAAACCATTAGGAACCATGAATATGGTTTTAGTTGAAAAATGCACGGTAAAATTAGTTATCATATGGTGAGGGTTTGTTAAATTAACGTTTTAAGCAAATTTGTATGTTGCTGTACATACCACATTTATTTGAAATAAAAAAATCTTCTTTGTCTTTTTACCATAGTCAATAATTATGTTACTTTTGAATCACTGTTGTCTTGTTGGTTAAATAATAATTTGCCATCGTTGTTTTTTTTCATAAAATGTGTTTACAAATATTAAAAACAAATCACAATTGAAACAACAAACATCATCGATCATAACTGAGAAATAACAATTACAGTTTACAAAATAAAAAGAGAAAACATTAAACATAATTTTGTAAGTGGATTGACCAAGAAACCCCAGCAAGTTGTCTTTGTTGAGACAATGTTTGTCGATCCTTGCCACACATTACATTAGAAGATCATGTTTACAAGGAGTCAGCTGATCAGGAGAAACTGTTTGTAAATGTGAGTGGATTTAGTTACAAATAGGTTATGTGAAAATGTAACGTAATGGCAAATTACGGTGGAAATATCAGTTAAATAAGATGGTATTTGCTGGTTTAAGGGAGGTTAAAAAGTTAAATATTGCTCTGAACTTAGTTAAAATACAGAAAGGTCTACCTATCCTGAACCCTTAGGTGTCCATCAAATTATTCTATAGGTGGGCAGCTGGAGTTGATGAATAATCCCAGGTTAAGACGGTGGTCTGGAAATGTAAAAAATTCGGTCCAAAATGGTGGAGTTTACACATTTTGTACCTAAATTTCCTTTGTAAATATATTTCATCACTTAAAATCGAAAAAGAATTTGTTGACGTGGGGTATTATAGAGGCCCCCCCCAAATTGATGGACGCTCGTACCTATACCTACTTTCTATATGCCCTAATTTTACTTAAAAATCTATCTTGCTTGCATAAAAAACTAGAAAAAAAAATACTTCAACTCTAGTAGTCGTTGCACAAGGGATCATCATAATTTGTATATGAACAATGAAGTAATGAGTTGATCAGCAATAATAAACCATCTGAAATGTTTAAAGGTTTAAAGGATAGACAAAAACGCAGTAGATACTTTAAAAATCATTGTAGTAGGTGGTCTGAATCAATATGTGGTGCTGACCAATTGGTTTATTGTACCGTTTCTGTTCCTAAAGCGCTTATAAATTGAGTAGCTTTACCGGTTTCTTTGGGTCCAATACAATTGTACCTAATAAACTTAAGTTGATAAAAAATTAAAAATCACATAAAATTAACAAATGAATCTAAATTATATAACACCGTTAACATTTTTACACTTCAAAACTAATAAATACAAAATTCAGAATGTTTAACAAATATTTTGCATAATATATTTTACAGCGTAATCGGATATTATTAAGTTATTAAAACGTAACGATTGCTATTTCAACCATGCATCTACAGTATCTCCAAAAAAGATGTTTAATTTAAATAGTTAAACTTATCAAACTTTTATTTAATTAATCGTTCAAATTTAATAAATTGTATTAGATCATTTATGTTACAATACATTCCCTAAATCTAAGGGATTGACAGATAAAATAAAACTCGACTCGTCTTTTTCATTGTTGCATATTCAGTGACAAAAACGTAAAATGCAGCAATTTAGAGGTCTTTGAGGAAGACTCCTATGACGTCACATAGTATCAGGGGATAATGACTACTAGGCGACAAAGACCTCTAAAGCCTCTGACAAAGACACGGATACGGAAATGATCAGGCGACAAAATGGCGGGAAATACCCGGCTTAACCCTTGCAAGAATGTAAAGTGTTAATTGCTGTGCAGTTGTAATAACGTAAGATGCTTTTAGTGGACCACTTTTTCATCCTTTTTTTGTTGAAAATTTTACCTTAAAAAAATAAGTATAGTAAATACATAATTACAATAATTATAAGAGATAAAATAAAGACAAAGTTAAATATGTGGAAACTATATTCACCAAATTTACAACCTTGGTTACAATATACTACCATTCAAACTTAAATATAACCAGCAAAATAAAACGGATATGTCACTTAGTGCCATGTGTTGATGGAAGACACATCTTTTGTTGATTAATAAATCCACTCCTGCGATACTAGCCTTGACTAAATTTGCGTATCGTTGCTTCAGTTTATTTGTCAAATTAACGAAATCGAGAAACTTTAGTACGATATGGTTGTATTTTCAATCCTTGTAAGAGAATAAAAATATAGGCTTTCCAATAATTAATTTAAAATAAACTATAAAATGAATAAATGAAATTTGACATGCCACTAACTAGAGTCAATCTTAAGTCACAAAAACTCTACAACTCGTCAATTACCATACAATGAATCGCTAAAAGAGAAAGCACAGGTTTTATAGAACAACGCCTTCCGAGATAATTCTTTTAAAAAATTCTCTCTATAGACAAATCCCTGGCCACATGTATTTTATTTCAAGAATTTATACTTCAGTATCCAAGATAAATGGTATGATGTAGACTAGAAAATACGAACTAAAAGGTAAATTAAGGGAATCTTACTGTCAAGACATTGAACAAAAAATATATAGTTTTAAATTATGATTTACTAGGGCTCAGTGTCTTTTGAACCAATAAAACTAATTATTGCTCATCTAGAGAATTTAGTGTGGACTCTAAATCACCTAGTCTAGTTTTTAGACAATTACGGAATCAACTGAAGCTAGAATCAAGTTTGACTCCCACTAGTTTTCCAAGTAACATTTAGCCAGAATCGTATCTAAGTATAATGTCATCTAAGGTTTGAATCTTATAGGGCCAAAACCAATACGCAACCAACCATCAAACAAATGTATAACCTAGATATGAATGTATATTTTATCTACATTTATATGTTAATCCACATTGAACAATCATCCTTATCCGAAATAAATAATCAAGATTAAAAAATGGAACACTTAAAATTTACTAAAACCTTTTACCCATTTTAAATAATTTAAAATGTCTTGTATAAAGACATCTTTATAGAGCAACATTTTAGCAGCTTAAGCATTTCTCTATCACTTTTCAAACAAAATGTCCATTTTCAAAACAAATGTGTTTAGTTTCTCTTTGTTTTAGTTTCAAGTGCATTCCTCAACACGGATTTTACAACCGAAATGTTAATGAGTTGTTTTCCTGTTTGAGTATTAATGAGGTGTCAAACTTTTACGTTCAATTTAGAACTAGTGTTTGCTCATCATTCTCGACAGTTTCGAAAATATTGATTTGCCTAGGAATAAGGAATATATAGCACAAAACAATAATAACTTTAACAAAGTGAGTTTTACAACATCCAAATACTTAGGTCTACTTTGATACATGTAAGTATTTTTTTAAGAGATATCATGGTACTTTAAAATAAACATAGTTATCCAACCAGTGCGATTTGTAAAGTTTGCAAGGACAACAAATCACGGGGAGTTCAATAAAATCTCCGTTTGGAGAATGAAAAGGCAATAACAGCTGATTTGTGTTATGGGATTGGACAAGAAATGTGTTTCGTCCAATGTTATACACTTCGAATACTTGAACATAGTTTTGGAATACAAAAGTGAATTCTAAACAAAACATATGTTTTAATACATACAAATTTTAAATTTTACAATATTGTTGAACTGTACAATAAACGCATCTAATTTTTAAGACTCATCCGAACAAGCATACTGTGAAATTGAAGGATGCATCTTTAAAAAATGAAATAAAAAAAAAGGAATGAAAAAACTAAATAAAACTAAAATATTTAAACTCAACTTCTCCCTTTAAGATACGAATTCAAAATTACTTAAAATTAATTAACTCAAAAAATGCTTCCTGAGACGGATATAGCTTATTTTATAAGAAAAATTAAAAATTAACTTAATAGTGAAATACATAAAAGGTGAAAACTTATGATGAATGAAAGAAATGATGAAGAATTTTTTTTCAAAACACTGAAAAGTACACTTGCATTTATTATTAGAACTACCCCTATATACTGAAGTGCAAAAAACAGTCAGTTGCAAAGAGAAAGTATAAAAATTAAACAGTTTCCAAACAAAAATGTTTTTTGTCCCTAACTAAATTATAGGTAGCATAATACGCTGCTGTTTGAAAATTATAAAACATTAATACAACGGTTTTTATATGTATTGAAGTTAAGTAAAATATCCCCAAAGACATGGAATCTGATATCCATAATAGAATCCGTAGGTACCCAAACTTAATAATTAAAACTGCCGGAGGAGACCATATTCACCACAAAACTAGGTATTCCACTGTAGTGTCGTCTGTTGTCTCCTCTAGATTTTACGAATATTTTATAGTTTAAGAAAAAAGTAATTGGACTGTTCAGTATTCCAATTGAGTTCACACAAATACAATAAAACACAGCTACAGAACGGTCGTGTTTATATTATACAATATGCAGTATATAGTTTGTGATTCAGTATGCTTTACGTTATTTTGATAGCAACACGTAATATTTATATAGGAATACCATATAGCTTTCTCTTTGTTTTCTCTTGATACTCTTTTTCCTATTGGGTATAAGCATGAATGGTGTCCAATAGAAAACGATGTTAAATGCACTTTTTACTCTAATTGGCGTAGCAAGAATGTGACAAAGAGTGTCCTCAAAGAGTTAATAAACACTTAAAATTCATAATCAATGACAATTATAATCATCATAAACCTCTACATTTTACAGTGGTAAAATTATCATTGATGTGATTTTGAATGGAAAGGTAGCAATATTAATACATCAGTTGCTGATTGTTGAAGCTAATTCGTAGTAAGAACAAAAACTAAAAACACTAATAAAATTTAATCAGACAAAAAATGTATGGAGAAACAAGTTTTGAACCAGCTGTAAGTGAATCTTCTCAGAGTAATGCCAAAGCTAGAGATTTACTAAGATTTATGTCCCCCAGTGAGGTGTGTGTCTTACTCTTACTCAATATGTGCTGCAATAAGCCACTGGTTATCAAGTTATTCTAGTAGGTGCTTCGTCTCATCAAAAACACAAAATCGTGGAATATTCGAAATTTGAATATTTTCTAATGTAGATATGTAGATTAGAATATTTCTTCTGACTTAGGTTCAAAAAAGGGGAAAATCGTCTCAATCAAATTAAAATAATATTCAATAAAAAATTAATTGTGAATATTGTATTTAACTTATTACTTTATATTCAATTTATGAATAGCTTGTGTCTATAGGTTTCAAATCATATATTAACGTGTCCTCCCTGGTGATTAGAGGTTATTAACAGTTCTTGTGTCATACTAATTGACATCATAAATAGAAGTGAAGACCTCAGTGAATACATGGCCTCCCTGGTGATATGTATGTGTCGAGACATGTTGACATTGAGTAGCTCTCCTCTCCTTGGAGGTTATTGACAGTTCTTGTGTCATACTAATTGACATCATAAATAGAAGTGAAGACCTCAGTGAATACATGGCCTCCCTGGTGATATGTATGTGTCGAGACATGTTGACATTGAGTAGCTCTCCTCTCCTTGGAGGTTATTGACAGTTCTTGTGTCATACTAATTGACATAATAGATAGAAGTGAAGACCTCAGTGTATACACGGCCTCCCTGGTGATATGTATGTGTTGAGACATGTTGACATTGAGTAGCTCTCCTCTCCTTGGAGGTTATTGACAGTTCTTGTGTCATACTAATTGACATCATAGATAGAAGTGAAGACCTCAGTGTATACACAGCCTCCCTGGTGATATGTATGTGTTGAGACATGTTGACATTGAGTAGCTCTCCTCTCCTTGGAGGTTATTGACAGTTCTTGTGTCATACTAATTGACATCATAGATAGAAGTGAAGACCTCAGTGTATACACGGCCTCCCTGGTGATATGTATGTGTTGAGACATGTTGACATTGAGTAGTTCTCCTCTCCTTGGAGGTTATTGACAGTTCTTGTGTCATACTAATTGACATCATAGATAGAAGTGAGGACCTCAGTGTATACACGGCCTCCCTGGTGATATGTATGTGTTGAGACATGTTGACATTGAGTAGTTCTCCTCTCTTTGGAGGTTATTGACAGTTCTTGTGTCATACTAATTGACATCATAGATAGAAGTGAAGACCTCAGTGTATACACGGCCTCCCTGGTGATATGTATGTGTTGAGACATGTTGACATTGAGTAGCTCTCCTCTCCTTGGAGGTTATTGACAGTTCTTGTGTCATACTAATTGACATCATAGATAGAAGTGAAGACCTCAGTGTATACACGGCCTCCCTGGTGATATGTATGTGTTGAGACATGTTGACATTGAGTAGCTCTCCTCTCCTTGGAGGTTATTGACAGTTCTTGTGTCATACTAATTGACATCATAGATAGAAGTGAAGACCTCAGTGTATACACGGCCTCCCTGGTGATATGTATGTGTTGAGACATGTTGACATTGAGTAGCTCTCCTCTCCTTGGAGGTTATTGACAGTTCTTGTGTCATACTAATTGACATCATAGATAGAAGTGAAGACCTCAGTGTATACACGGCCTCCCTGGTGATATGTATGTGTTGAGACATGTTGACATTGAGTAGTTCTCCTCTCCTTGGAGGTTATTGACAGTTCTTGTGTCATACTAATTGACATCATAGATAGAAGTGAAGACCTCAGTGTATACACGGCCTCCCTGGTGATATGTATGTGTTGAGACATGTTGACATTGAGTAGTTCTCCTCTCCTTGGAGGTTATTGACAGTTCTTGTGTCATACTAATTGACATCATAGATAGAAGTGAGGACCTCAGTGTATCCACGGCCTCCCTGGTGATATGTATGTGTTGAGACATGTTGACATTGAGTAGTTCTCCTCTCCTTGGAGGTTATCGACAGTTCTTGTGTCATACTAATTGACATCATAGATAGAAGTGAAGACCTCAGTGTATACACGGCCTCCCTGGTGATATGTATGTGTTGAGACATGTTGACATTGAGTAGTTCTCCTCTCCTTGGAGGTTATTGACAGTTCTTGTGTCATACTAATTGACATCATAGATAGAAGTGAAGACCTCAGTGTATACACTGCCTCCCTGGTGATATGTATGTGTTGAGACATGTTGACATTGAGTAGCTCTCCTCTCCTTGGAGGTTATTGACAGTTCTTGTGTCATACTAATTGACATCATAGATAGAAGTGAGGACCTCCGTGTATACACGGCCTCCCTGGTGATATGTATGTGTTGAGACATGTTGACATTGAGTAGCTCTCCTCTCCTTGGAGGTTATTGGCAGTTCTTGTGTCATACTAATTGACATCATAGATAGAAGTGAGGACCTCAGTGTATACACGGCCTCCCTGGTGATATGTATGTGTTGAGACATGTTGACATTGAGTAGCTCTCCTCTCCTTGGAGGTTATTGACAGTTCTTGTGTCATACTAATTGGCATCATAGATAGAAGTGAAGACCTCAGTGTATACACGGCCTCCCTGGTGATATGTATGTGTTGAGACATGTTGACATTGAGTAGCTCTCCTCTTCTTGGAGGTTATTGACAGTTCTTGTGTCATACTAATTGACATCATAGATAGAAGTGAAGACCTCAGTGTATACACGGCCTCCCTGGTGATATGTATGTGTCGAGACATGTTGACATTGAGTAGCTCTCCTCTTCTTGGAGGTTATTGACAGTTCTTGTGTCATACTAATTGACATCATAGATAGAAGTGAAGACCTCAGTGTATACACTGCCTCCCTGGTGATATGTATGTGTTGAGACATGTTGACATTGAGTAGCTCTCCTCTCCTTGGAGGTTATTGACAGTTCTTGTGTCATACTAATTGACATCATAGATAGAAGTGAAGACCTCAGTGTATACACGGCCTCCCTGGTGATATGTATGTGTTGAGACATGTTGACATTGAGTAGCTCTCCTCTCCTTGGAGGTTATTGACAGTTCTTGTGTCATACTAATTGACATCATAGATAGAAGTGAAGACCTAAGTGTATACACGGCCTCCCTGGTGATATGTATGTGTTGATACATGTTGACATTGAGTAGCTCTCCTCTCCTTGGAGGTTATTGACAGTTCTTGTGTCATACTTATTGACATCATAGATAGAAGTGAAGACCTCAGTGTATACACGGCCTCCCTGGTGATATGTATGTGTTGAGACATGTTGACATTGAGTAGTTCTCCTCTCCTTGGAGTTTATTGACAGTTCTTGTGTCATACTGATTGATACCGTAGATAACCTGGGGACCGAGCTTTGTTCGGGGAAAATCATTAGTGTTTTATGAGAGCAGTATTTGGTATTAAGTTCATGTTTTGTATTTTATCTACTTTGGCAGTATTTTTCTAAGCAATAAAATAGTAATAGGCTAAGAAAATCTCTATTCTGTAAACAAATACCTATTAAGATACTACATTTTATTCATTTCACAACAAATCGATTTATAAAACTGAATGGGCCTAGGCCTTATATGTTCATGAAAATTTTATAAGCTGAAAAATATGTTTTTGACTACTAAAATTTTTTTCTTTGGCCTCAAAATATCCATTAGTGAATTATACCGTAGGCTATACTTAATTAAATAAGTGACAAAACATAAAGGAGAATCACATTTTATTTTTAAAATAGGCAACTATAGTCACTTTAATTACACAACCTGTTATACTATTTGGCAAAAGATAATTTTTTAACTTACTTGTAATAAAGAGCATTATAATTTCTTTTTCTTAAATTTTTATGATGTCATTTCGGTGACGCCAATAGATGATTGACCCCTGTTTCGTTGATTATTACTACTCAGATACCCCAATTGGTGTTTTCAGCGTTTTCACTTCACGTTCGACCTTTTGCAAGTCAATTGAGTATTCAGTTCAGTATCACGTTTAATACACGCTTCGGTAACAATCTTACCACTTCAAAACGTGTTTTAGTCTTTCAGTAATTCCATAACAAAATTCGCACAACGTCTTTGTTTTGTGGTGTGTACAAACATATTATATTTTGAACACATGTGAATACATGTTAAAAATTTTCACGTATTGGATATTTTGTTTAGACTCTTTTAACATGATATGTTCCAATCATAATAGAATAGTTATGATATTATTATAAGGGTTTGTTTAGTTTTTTGTGTGTTTAAAAATTAACTTTGAGGATGTGTACAATAAAAAGCAAATCTACAATGAACTAAATAATAAATAAAAAAGTAATAGCACGTTATTCTTAACTAGTGTACCTGTTGCTTGAATTCGACCAATTGCTAAGTATTACAGGCGTTATTTTAAAACGAATAACAGTCATAATTTCTGACGACTTTAAAAAAATGTGACTCAAAGATTACCTTTCAAAACCGTAGAAAACACTCCAATATTCAAGAAAAAGAAAAGAAAGTGTAAACTCAAGGGAAAGACGGTAAAAATGTAGTTGTTTCAAACGAAGCGGCCAAACTTTAACTCTAGGTAAAATTTATTAATACTTAAAACTTTTACTCACCGGACTAACTCGATAATCATCCTGAAGATCAAATTGATTGCAGAAAATATGGAAAAGTCAGAACAAATAAAAATGCGAGTTCCCCTTCGAATTGCAGAAGTTCCTCTAAATTCGTCGATAAGGATTTGATAAAAAATACTTTTATGTTAAAATCCGCAAGAGTAGGTGAGGTTCATAGTTCTTATAAAAAGCTAACGGTATTTAATGTATACATGTTTATTAACCTGTGTAACCTGTCCCCATCAAAATCACAACAATGGAATAAAATATTTGTAAACCTAATTTTTAAAGCTGACAACAATACTTAACTTTTTATCAATAATTATGGTTATCATTTGAGAAGGGAACGCTACATTTGTGCGTATTTAACCCAAATACAGTATAAGTGAAGGATGAGTGCAGATTGGATTGATATGATCTGTGTAGCTTTGTTACTGACTAAGATCAGCTGTTTGATTAGCCATGACCATTTACCATCGATCTCTATTATTTACTTTTAGTTAATTACTGACTAAGAACAGCTGTTTGATTAGTCATGACCATTTACCATCGATCTCTATTATTTACTGGGTCCAGTTTCGAAAGATCAAAATGCTTTACACTTTTCTCGGGATTGAACCGGCAACCTTTTGAATACTAGGCGAGCGCTATAACCACTCAGCTACCCATCCATAGTAAGCATTACTATTACAAACATTGTACTGTACGAAAATCACAATTCGTAGTAAAATAAACTAAATAATATACCTAAAAAGTAACACACAGCGAGTAATGAATCAATATTTTTGTTCAAATTTATCAGTGTATACACTGTGGAAGGATTTGAATGTATCATTACTAATACAACTCAAACATATCCTGATCTGATTATTGACAGAGGTAATATAAATGGAAGATCTGAGGGAGAATTATATTGCATGTAGATGCGTCTACACTAATGTAATAGGATGCATTCTAGCATTGATACTTTGATACTCCGATCAAGAAATGTTACATGGAAAATAAAAGCAACCAGTTGTAGTCTAAATATAAGACATTCTCACTAGTAAATGTTAAATCCACGCATAAAACTCAAGCGAAGACAGCTTGATAGTTAAACATCATACATAATGTACAATTAAATTATAAAAAGCTCCTTATCTGATTTCTGCTCGGTATCTGATTTAAATATTGTGGTTTTTTTTGTGAGTTAATAAAATGTATTCATTAACTCATATAACTTAATCAGCAATATAATAAACCGATTATACGTCGTGACTAAAACATATGTAAAGGTATTGCCCCGAGCCTCAATTAGTTCTGACTGATCCAAACAAAAGGCGGAAAAAACATTAAAATCAGCAATCATATTTTAAAGATAAACCTATTTTGTTATCCCGCCATTTTGTCCTAATGTGTCAGCTTTAACTGATACTCAGGGGTATTTCTTTTACATATGTGTATGTTAGGATGGTTGAGTTTCAGGTTTGTAGAGTGTTCGGTGTGTCTAATATATTAATTCAAAAATAGGGACCTTTGTGTGGGACACCCGGTATAAAATATAACATAACATAAATTAACTATATTTTAGTAAGATCTCCAGATAATATTAATCCAGTGTGATGATTATGAATATAGAGACAAGTCTAAATGTAAAACTACCTTAGAGTCATGCAGTCTTGGTTCTTCTGCAGTATAGTAGTATTGGCAAATGTAGGCAAATGTATAAGTAACATACATTTAGGAAACGTAATACAATGGTAGTTATTCTTTGTGAAAAATATTATTACTTAAGTATTTAACTCTACTTTCTCTGGCAATAATTATGAAGAATCCTTAAAAATCTGTGAAGTATACCAGGTATCTAATATTGGTTATATTATATTAATACTTTAATTCGTTAAACTTAAATGGCGACCATATGAAGGTAGGTATTTTAAGCCAAGTATGAATGGAGATGAATGTAGGATGAGAGAAACTTGTTACTGACTAAGGCCGAATGTTCCTTAGACACGACTGTTAATTAATAGCCCAATCAGCCAATAGCAACCAAGGAACCTACATAGTGGAATCCGAACCACATTTTTACCTTGTAATTTTCGAATTGGTCAAATTATCAGGATAGTATTGCGGATAGTCATAGTAGACCTACTCTATATGTCGCACAGTTATCCTTCCTTTTGAGCAATGTTTCGTCTGGGTTTTGAATCAAGTAAACATATCTAAGGGTGTGCGTTCTTAACACTACTACTCGCGCAGGCAAATTAAATATAATTTTGATAATAGCAATAAGATATAGGCCTACTCAGGTAAATGTGTTAGTGCAATCAGCTAAATATTTCTGCGAGTGGTACTACGAGCTCTCAGCTATCGGATGTTACCTCTTCCTTAAAAACGCATTTAAACGCTATTTCTACATTTGTAAGAATATCTAATGAAGAAATGCGAAGAATGATGGAAAAGGGAGTCAACCTTCATTTATCTTTGTTTGTCACAGTCATTGGTTGTGATCAGAGGTTGACAGATTGCGCTGTTGATGGATTCAGATTCTGATCAATACGTTATTCACAATTTACAAATACGACTATTAAGGTATGAATAGAGTGAGAATTAACATTTTAATAATCAAATCAACAGGTTTTGTTATAAATAGGGAAATAATAAATTTACAGCTGATCCATATAGTCACTGATAAGTACAATTCAGTGATTTCACTAATTGACGTAAATTGTAAATAAATCGTAATTACAGTAATAAAGTTACACTTAAGTGAGGCTATATGTTTCATGATACTATAGGGCCTTAGTGACCCTTTTCAATTGATGCTCATGTTTAGCCACTAAGTGAAAACAAAATAAAATTAGGAAGGGTGAAAAATACACCTTTTTCCCGTGTGATAAACCACATGTTTAATTATTTAGTAGACATATTTAAGCTGACAGATTAACAAGCATTACAATGTCTTATATAATGTTGTCTTACATATACAGGGTGATCAACTCAAGGAGGCCACCATTAGGATATCGAAAACGGTAAGAATTAGAGAAAACTTTAAATAGGGGACATTCCTTTATGTTTTGTGGCAGTTAAAAATATTATTTTATTTTTTTTGAAATTCAGCCGCCATTTTCCAAAATAGCGGCCAACTTTGAAATTTCTTATGGAACACCCTTATATTTTATCATGTTTTCGGATAGAACATGAAATTTAAAAACTTTTTTATTTATGACATTTTTTCGAAAAACCCACTCGTTTAGGAGTTACAGCCTATGGAAAAATGACATCATATAGCTCATAAACAAGTAGGTTTATAGCGAAAATGCGAAGAGTAAATAAGTCAAATAAGTCTTAATATTGTATCCACATTCCATAAAGACCATAACATTCGTTAAAAATATTAATTTGGTTTTTTTTTAAATGGCGGCCATTTTCCAAAATGGCGACAAACTTGAAAAGTGGAAAACTGTGTATTTTATTAGGCACCTTAGATGTGGCCTCCTTGAGTTCATCACCCTGTATAATATATCAGCTGTTGTTTGCTACCGTTGAATTTTCCTGTGTCACCAAAAGTGTTAAAATGAACAAATCATAATAAAGCCATTGAAACAATGAATCACAATTGTTAGACGATATATTAAAAGTTTGTAAATGAAAAACACGACTGCAGTATAGTTACTA